CAGTCCCCCGCAGTCGGCTCCCGCCTTGGCTCCCCGCCTCCCCAAGCCGGCTTGCTGCAGCCTGCTGCTTGCCTGCCTGCTGTGTGCCGCTTCCCGCCAGTGCTGCTTGCCTGCCCGCCTGACATACGTCATCACCGCTAGCCGTCGCAGCGTATCGCGTCACTACCCGCAGCCGGAGAACCTGGAACTAAGCTCTCGTCAGTCGCTGGATCTCGCGGACGTGTAAACGCGGCTAATCTCCCGGTTTCATACTTGCTTTCTGCGATATTCTATCCCCGGAGAAAAACACGCGGTCCTCTCACAAACACGCACAGCGTCAATCCTTACTGAGGGTGCGTCGGGCATCAATTCCTCATCTCCTAAGTCGGTTCTTCACTAACTTAAACCCTCTTCTATTCCGGGTAGCACCTCCGCCGGGAGCGTGCCGGTATAAACTAGATGTTTTCACAGATGCATTCTCAGTTCCCCTCTTGTTTTAAACCCTTTATTCTGAGCATTTTTCTTTGTGTATTTGATTCCAAAATAAGCCGTGTTAATTCGTTAAAATATATCACGGTATCTAGGCTTTGATTTTAGCGTTTGGTGTAATTAGCGTTGTCCCACAGTAATACCCAACACATCCACGTTGGCTCAAATTTGGAGTGGATCCATGTGAACAATTTGGTCTAATTGCTTTGCTTGTGTTGCTGGGAGGCCAGTAATCACAACCAGGGCTGGTGTCAGAAATCCTGATAATTAAAGGGGTTTACGGCCACCCATTTTAGCTCCACCACGGCATGGTCTGGATAATTGGCTCTGCCCAGATCGTGACTAAGGGCTGGTGCAGCCTGGGCCGATTTGGATCAGGCTTGCGTGTATATTCTGTCTGATTCCTATAGTACCTGGGCTTCCCAGAGCTGCCAATAACTTTTTCATCCAGTAGGTGTGGTACCAAAGGCAGGACAAAATCTTCAGCCTGCCTTGCACTAGATGAACCTGGCTGCTATTTGGGCAGGAGGAAATTACTGTGACAGAGCCCTGCTGGAGCCAACAGCATAGGGAAATGGAAAAAAAACCCAAACAGAACATCCTCTTTAGTCTTGCCTGAAGAGGAGGAAAGACAGTATGTGGCAGCATCCCAGAGCAGTTGGGAAGGTGCTAGAGCTGCATGCTGGGGAAGAGGAGGGTGCTGGAGGACAGCACAGTCCAGGTGTGGAAGCACTGCCCTTATGTGCTGTGAGGATGAGCCTGGGGCACTAGCCCTCACCACTGGAGGCCATGGACCTCATCAGTAAAGCAAGGGAAAGCAGCACTGCAGCTATGCTCCCTCTTTATGTATATCCCAGCTGCTCCACAGGGACTTGGAGCACAATGCCAGAGGACACCAAAAGCAGAGATGTAATGCTTATATCAGGAGTGCTGCCCAAGATCCTATCCCTGCTGTGGCTGCCTGTGAGCTCTCCACACTGAGGTGCACTCACCTTTGTCATGGTATTGAGCTTCCCCTGCTGCTCTTACCCTCCCAGCTCAGCTTTTGCTGCAGGAGCAGGTGGAAAGGGACAGGCTGTAAAAGCAAAACTGCTCCTGCAGCCTCTGAAAATGCAGACACACACCAGTGATACGTTTAGATCTTTATTAGGTGGAGGAAGGGCTAAAAAGAAACTAAAACTCATAAAACATTCACTGCACTGGTGCAGGACAAGAAGGACCAGGAGTTGTCTCCAGGGTCTTTGTTTTTTAAAAAACCAGGGAGGGATAGGTGAAGTTTCCATCCAGTAGCTCTGGCTTTCCTGGTCAGGGTGGCTCAGGGCAAAAAGAGGTACAAGACACAGCTTATACTTTTATTAAAAAAAAAAACACCCACCTACATAATTTTTGCCTCTAATGATGCAAAGGAGGTGTTCCAGGACACGCACAGCCATCCAAAGTCTCTTGCTAGAGAAACAAACAAAAATAAATCCCTATCATTATTATTATTATATTGAAAAATAAAAAGGTGAGGCTGCAGCTCAGGGCCACAGCGACCAAACTGCCCACAAGAGTTCATCTTCCAGAGCAGGAAGAAAGGAAGATATGAAAAAAGGGGAAGGCACCTTTTTTTCTTCCTTTTTTTTTTTTTTTTCTTTCTCTGTTTAAAGTAACTGCTATATTGGGGGCCGAGGCAGAAATCAAACCAACAGGACACATCTTGATTCTTTTGGGGGAGGAAGGGCAAGGCTCCTTATTTGCCTGAATTTAGAATTGCATTAAATAAATGGGCTCAAAAAAAAAAAAAGTCACAGTTTGTCTTTGACAGAGTTATAAAGCTTAAAAAAACAAGGATGCCCTGGTACAGATAGGAAACAATTTTTTTTTTTCCTACAAAGAAAATAAAACAGGCTGCAAGATGCAGAAAACCACATTTAGGCTCTGTTACATTTACAAATACATACATAAATATATTACATATAACAGCAAATCAAAGAGGAAGTGGGTGAGTCAGAGAATGTCTGGCTAGCTGCAGTTCTTCCTGCACAAATGTTTGGATGAGCAGTTACTTCCTCTCCTAATAAATCCAGAAATGGGCTTCGGCTTTTTTTTCTTTTTCTCTCTCTCTTTTTTTTTTCTGTTTCCCACCCCCCCTCCTCCTCTCCTTTCATGTTCTCCTCCCTCCCTAGTTTTGGCTTTAGTTTGTCCAGTATGGAGAAGTGCCATAGGTGGTTTTGGTAGTCTGAGACTTTTGCTGCATGGTGCTGGGTTGGTTGCGTTGGCCAGATCCACCCTAGAAGTTGGAAAGGAAGGAGACATGGGCATCAGTTGCTATAGCACCAGCACTCCCAGGAAGACAAGCCTGTCCGTACATCACCAGAAGAGCTGCCATCCCCAGGGACAGCCTTGGCATCTGCCAACACAGCAATGCTCCAACCCAAACAGATCCGTTTCTGCTTTGCAACATCTCTGCATCTCGCAATCCAGGACAAATGGCCACAGAGATATGAAGCAGGAGCACAGGGACACACCATCCCACCACATCTCACCCAAAACAGGGTCAAGCACAAGGAAGGAGGAGCAGGACTGGGGATAGGCAAAGGAGCTCTCAAGGTGACTGAAGGTGGTGCACCAGCCAAGCATGCCACGCATTTCCTATTTCTGGACTCTTAAGGCAGAACACTGTTTTTTCAGGGAACATTTATAGTAAGGAAAGTAAATGCATGGGCTGGTGAAACCAAATCAGAAATCAGAGCAGCACCTGCCTTGGCTTCACACCTCACAGCCCATCTCTCCACTCCCCACATCAGGATGGCCTCTTCACAGAATCACAGGCTGGATGAGGCTGACAGGGATCTTGAGGTATCTTGTTCAATCCCTCTGCTCAAGCAGGGTCACCTGGAGCCAGTTGCCCAGGACCATATCCAGACAGTTCCAATGGTGGAGACTCCACAACTTCCCTGAGCAACCTGTACCAGTGCTTGGTCACCATCTGTCACCAGCCAACGCCATCACAGAGGCTACTGGCTTGCAACACCATCCCAGTAAGACAGTTGATTCCTGATGTTCAGAGGGAACCTCCTGTGTTTCAGTCTATGCCCATTGCCTCTGGTTCTGTCACTGGGCACCACTGAGGCTCCATTCCCCTTACACTCTCCCTTCAGGTATATTCATTGATGAGATTTCCCTGTACCCTTTTCTCCAGACCAAACAGTCCCAGATCTCTCAGCCTTTCCTCATAGGAGAGGTGATCCAGTCCCTTCATCATCCTTGTGGCCCTTTGTTGGACTCTCCACTACATCCATATCTCTCTTGTACTGGGGAGCCCAGAACTGAACATGGTACTCCAGGTATGGCCTCACAAATGCTGAGTAGCAGGGAAGGATGCCCTCCCTCAACCTGCTGGCAATACTTTGCCTAATGCACCCCAGGATACCATTTGCCTTATTTGTGGCAAAGGCACATTGCTGGCTCATGTTCAACATGGTGACCACCAGGATGCCTAGGGCCTTTTCTACCAAGCTGCTTTGGCCCCCAGCATATACTGGTACATAGGATTGTTCCTCCCCAGGGGCAGGACTTTGCACTTCCCCTTGCTGAGCTTTATGAGGTTCCCTCCCCAAGCTGGTCAATGGCATTGAGTCTGTCAGTCAGCAATCATTGTCAAGGCCCTTTCCCAATGAATAAATCAAAAACCAGAAGGAAGGAAAAACCCCCAAGACCCTGCTGGGATGTGGGTGGGAGCAATCTGCTCTCAGGCATGTTGTAGATGTGGAAGGGGCCAACTCACCTGTCCATCTTGCTGAAGATGGTGATGTAGCATCTGGGAATGAGGCTGCTGATGCGCAGGCAGGATATGGAGAAATGGGGCTGGAGCATAACCTGGGGCAGCACCAGGGTTCAGGGGCCCAGTCGATCCAAGAGCAGAGGGCAGGCTGAAAGGAGGTGGTGTACCAGGATGGAATCCCTGCTTGTCAAATGTCTGCATGGGAGGCAAGGCAGACAGCATCAGACACTGATGTGAGCAGCCCCACAGTGATCAGACAAGAAGAGTGGCCCAAACACACATCCCCTGAACCTTTCACCAACCCCACGAGAAAGCTAAGTCACACCTGTGAGCACTTCAGCAGATTGAGTTTCAGCTCCTGTTCTCACCCATGCTTCTGCACTAATGCCTCCAACATTTTAATTCCAGTTACTGTACTCCTTTTTCCCCTGACCTCTTTTTACTCAGTGAGACATGGGATGGCAGCAGCTACCTGAAATCAGTCCTTCACACATTGTGGGGGCTGAGGTTCAAACTACCCAGGGAGGTAGAAGAACAACTTGCAATAAGATTTTCCTCCCCTGGCCAAAGCTTGACCCCTAACGCTAAGGGTGTAGCTGAGAGCTCAAGATCTTCCTACCTGTAAGCATGGATAACAGCCAGATACCAATTCCCCCAGCTGAGGGTGCAAAGATGGAAAAACAAGAGCTGGGCATAAGCCCAACTGCACACCACAGCTTGTCAAAGCACTTTCTGCTTTCCCTAGGAAGTTGTATGCTGAGCAACAGCCACAGGAGAGCGTGGGATAGGGACCTACAGGTGTTCGGGATGGGCACTACTGACTGGTCTCACCAGTGAAAAGCAAAGGGCCTTTTGACTCACCTGCTTTGGGGACTATTTTGACTAAAAACATCAGTGCCATCATATTTCATTTGCACCCAGGATACAGCACGTGTGCAGCAACAGAGAGCACTGCACCTATACCAGCAGCTGCCATCAGGAGCTGACACGACAGAAGTGGTGGGATAGAGGACAAGACTCCTCTTCAACAGCAAACAGAGTCAACATAAGAAATGTCACAACCTGCTGACACTGAAACCAACTGACCTGGGAATGGCCCCAGCCACCAGTGCTCTGCATGGGGAGCCATCAGCCTGGCCTCAGGCCTCAGGAGAGTCTAGCATTGCTCACCTGAGTCTTGTTATAGACTGAGCCACTGATATCAGGTACACCTGTGTTACTTGAGGTCACAGAAACTCCTGGAAAACAAAACAAATGAAAAAAAGCCATAAACAATGAGAAAGTCAACCATCACCCAGCATGAGCCATGTGTGCCTTGCTCTCAGCACCTCCTGTGGCCTCAGTGGATGCACCTTTGTCTGAAGCTGCTGCTGCCAGCTAGCCTGATGGGGTTCTCCATGTTGTCAGACCCACAGCATCTAACATGGGAACAGAAGAAAGGGCTCGATTCCTTACCCCTGCTGCAAAGTAGGAAACTAGTCCATGTCCATGACCATGACCCAGCTTAGATTCAAAGGCACTTCACCAGGCAGCAGCTGGATGCATTGAACACTCATTTAAGCTCACGGAAACCCAGCTTTCCCCTAGGGTTAAGAATGCATTTGGCTCTACTGCAGCAATCAAGAGCTTTCCAGCAGTGCACTGAGCAATGAGACTCAGTAGCTGCTGCACATTTGAGCTCTTGTCCTTTTACATCCTGTCGAAGGGTGAGGTCTGCAATGCTCCTCTGCCCTAAGAGAATTAATATCATTGATTCAGACTGCCTTCCACCTGGACCAGCCAGTGGCACAACAGGCTCAGAAATACTTACCAGCAAGGTGACTCTCAAACCAGCCACTTATTCACAGTCTTATAAAGACTGGCTCTAATAATTTAATTTGCATATAACCAGTGGTTCCTTTGGCCAGTGAATCAGAGGACTGGACTCAGAGGGTGTGCACTGCTCTAAGGTTGTACCTTTCCTAGGACATTGCTCTTTTTTAAATTGCTCCTCCACAGAGGAGAGTGGAGCTCAGCTCTTGCCTGAAGACAGTCCAGCTGGTGTTTCAAATGTACAGCAAATGCTTGATATTGGCTTAAGCCCAAGGATGAAATAGTTAGCGCTAAGCAATTCAGTATACATTTCTCAGGTCTAACCAGCATGTGCAGAATAAAGCTTTCATATAAACTATAAATTCTTCAGCCTTTACAGTCAAGGAAACATTTCTAGGCATGAAACAATTGTGATGAGGGTACAGACAAGCAGCTGAAACAACAGTCCGGAGATGTGTGAACTGTCCTGCTCACTCCTAACACATGGCTTTTTCAGGTGCCTACCAAGAAACTCAAAATCTAGTCTTCATTAGGCAGAGGAGCATTTCAGGAGCAGCATCAAATTGCTTAGGCTTCAAAAACACAGCACTGCTGCAGGACTGCTATTCTTCAGCAAAGAAAACTTTGACAGAGGAAACAGCTCACCATTTCTCCCATGTATAATTGTGAACAAAGCTGCATATCAGCGACACAATTTCTTATGCAAAGTTCAGCCATGAGATTTAGAAGGAACATTTGGGCCATTAAAAAAGCTTTTGGTATATGGGAGATGGAGAAACAGCTTGGATTGTGACTGTTTAGAGCTGACTGCTATGTTTGACTGCACAGCACTGGGAGTTTGCCCTATTAAATCCCACTCAAGAGCAACCTCAGGTCTCACATGTTACCTTTCCCAGGTCCAGTGCTAGCAGATTTGTTTTGTGCTTGAGATGACCCACTGTAGCCTCCTTTGCTGTAATCTCCAGCTGCTGTCCCCTGCGTTAAGTCATCATAGCCTGCCAGTGTGTACAAGACAAGGTGTTACAGTGTGCAAACAGCTCTGCAGACACTCAGGTGAAAAGCGCAGTGGTAAGCATACCTGCTCCATAGCTGTGCTGCCCATAGCTGCTTGCTTGCTGGAAAGGAGTCGACACTGTGTTCAGGTTGACTCCATGCTGTTTAGCAGATGCTGGAGGTACCTGGACAAAGGAAATAAAAGGCACTGTTAAGTGGGGAACGGCAGGCAAAACACAAGTTCCCTCTGCCATCTAGTGGGGAAGGCACCTCCACCTCATGTGGGAAATTTAATTTGGAGTTGAGAGCACTGGGATGGTATGGGACATGGCACTCTCACTTCAACCAGTAACTTGCTGTTAGTGGCTTTGTACAAGCCCCATGTTTTCTGCTAGAGCCACCCCTCTGACTGTAGTGCAACCTTGTCTCAGAATAGGCTGTGTATTTCTTTCATACATTGACCGTAAAAAGCAAATTCTTACCCACAAACCCAAGAAGGAGCAACCAGTGCTCTCCCTCCAGAAACAAATGAAACACCAACTCCTGCCTGGGGCTGTTTCATAAAACACAGTCCTACAGGGCCCTAAAATAGACACATATACACTTCTGCCTGGAGTATCACCTCTTCCCAAATAACATCCTCCCTCCTGAGACTACCAGTGTTGCTTTATGACTTAATGGGGGTCTCTTCCATCCCTCAAAAGGATTTCTTAGACACCCTCGGCTTGCTGACACAGCTTTGGGTCTCCCTTTGACTCTCCAGACACAGCTACAGGCTTTGAGGAACACTGAGTCCATGAGCTGTAACTTTCTACTATTTACAGTAACCTGCACAGGAGTTAATGAGTTCTGGCCTTTTAAATTTCCTGTTTTATTGGGAAAGAAACTGCAGCTATTTTCTCATGCTTTCATGTTTTTGGAGATTCCTTGCAGACTGGGGAAGAGGCCTCTACTCTCCTACCATGAGACCCCACCTGGAGTATCATATCCAGTTCTGGGGCCCGGAGCACAAGAAGGACATGGAGTTGTTGGAGTGGGTCCAGAGGAGGCCACAGAGATGATGAGAGGGCTGGAGCAGCTCTGCTCTGGAGACAGGCTGGGAGAGTTGGGGTGTTCAGCCTGGAGAAGAAAAGGCTCCAGGGAGACCTTATTGCAGCCTTTCAATACTTAAAGGGGGGCTCATAAGAAAGAGAGAGAGAGACTTTTTACTAGGGCCTGTAGTGATAGGACTACAGTTTTAAATGGATAGAGGGTAGTTTTAGATTGGACATATTTTTTACAATGAGGGTGGTCTGACACTGGCTTGGGTTGCCCAGAGAAGCTGTGGCTGCCCCATCCCTGGCAGTGTTGAAGGGCAGGTTGGATGAGGCTTGGAGCAGCCTGGTCTGGTGGGAGGTGTCCCTGCCCATGCAGGGGGTTGGATCTGGATGATATTTAAAGGTCCCTTCCAACCCAAATCAACCTCTGATTCCAAGAAGTAAAAGGTTTGGGCTGGAGAAAGCAAAACCAGAGAGGCACAAAGGGAGGGTTACAGTTTAGGCTGTTACACTTACAAACATGGTTGGCCCATACTGGAATGCACTGGGTACACCGGGCACACCAGCATAATAAGGTAACCCAGTGTAGCTGTATCCTGGGGGCAGAGTTGGGTTGAGGAAGGGCTGCTGAGTTGTATGATGAGTCTGTGTCTGGTTCTGCTGTGGCTGGGTGAGTGTGGTAGCAGGAGCAGGAGAGGCAGAATCTCCACGGCCAAATTTTGTTACATCACCTGTGAAAGAAAAAACTTATTAGAAAAGCTATCAAAGCCACTCCAAAAGTGGAGGATTCAAAGGATTCAAATCCTCTGAATACAAGTAGACAATTACAGAAGAGAGCACATTCTACACTTGAAAGGCTGCAGTTGTTCATGGGAAGATCTCTCCCGGTCTCTGTTCCTGATGGCCACAGGGACATTGCCTGTTCATGGCACAGAACTCTGTGCCCTGGTTAATCCATTGATAAAATGGAGATACCAATATTTATCTGTCTCACACAGTCTGAATAGATTCATCACTATCAGATCATTGCAATAAAACATGCTAAAAGCAGAATTAGGTAAATAGCCAGAGCAAATGGTTGTTGGGTTCTGGAGAGAGTAGCTGAAGGCTAGGAAAGCAAGGCTTGCATCATGGGCCACCTTATTGAAGAAGTAGGAAGGGAAATCTGATTATTAACCCAAAAGCAGCCTCCTGAGAGAAGTGATTACAAAGCAAACTCCTGAACACTTGCATTTTCTGGCAGCCTACAGAGCAGCATGTTCACGTGTTTTTAGGGAAGTAACATATATCAGTCACATCTATCTCGTTCCCAACAAATATTCCTTTACGTTGGTTACCAAAAAGTATGACAACACTTAATACTGGCATTTCAGGAATTATAACACCTATGGCTACAGTTTTAAGCTGTAATCAGATGGCAGTGAAAGAAAACCATGGGCTGAAAATTCTGGATGGCATTAATGTCATCTTTGCATGCTGATAACTGAAGAGCAAGAATGAAGAAGGGCTTCTTAGACCACACAAAATTCATAACAATTTTGCACTTATTCTCAAAGACTACCTAAATTACTACCAGAAGTCACATATGAATTACCGACCAATACCATGAAAAAAAAATAAAAATATCAATGTCAGGGTTGAGAAGGAGAAGGGGGAGATGCTTGCTTTTGTTTTACTAGTTTGGACTGATGGGTTTGCTTACAGAAGGGAAAAATGACTGCTCTTACAGCAATGACAGGATGACCTGCATTTAGAAACCAGCACATCTTGCCATATTTGTCTTTAAATAGCACTCACCTGAGTACAGGTTGTTAGCAAGGCTCCCATCTCTGCCTGTCAAGGTTGCAGGAGCAGGGAATGTAATTCCATAGTAATCCTTAGAAAGAGATTACATCCTCTATTAATAGTTGAGACAGTAACAGAGCTGGACATCTCTTATGAACACCATATTATACACATAAAAAAAATTAAAAAGCAAGAGCTAAAGGAAGATTGGGCAGAAGCTGACCTTATTGCTTACAGCAGAGCTGAAGATTTACCTGGATCCTGAACTTCAAAATAAACCTATTTTATAGACATTTTTAATATCATACACAAATCATCTCTTAATGGAAAGTTAAAGGCAACAACTAAATGCTTTCCCATCGTATTCCGTGTCATATTCCAGCAAGACTGCACCTGGAAGAGCAACAGACCATCAGGGGCCAAAGACCTGGGGTCAGGCTAGGGCTGTAATCACAATGTGCATGTAGTCTAAAGGTTTTACCCTTGAACCATGCCCTCTTTTCAAAAAGTAAAAACATCAGCAAGGAAAACAGCACAAACATTACAAAAAACTGAAGAAAAAGAGTTATCACCTGATGACTGGATGTCACAGTTTAATACTAGGCCAGCAATAAAAAGCATGACAGATGCTTTCTATTAACTTCTCTCCATTCCCAGAAAGGGAAAGGAAAGAGAATAAGGGAGAGAGGCTTAGGGGTTGGAAACCAAACTACACAGCTTTAATGAAACAGTTGGGACTAAAAGGAAAATAATGAAATATGTACAAATATATACAAATATATATAAAATTGATAAAGTTCCCCCCCAATAATGCTCATGTCACCCCCAAGGCTGCAGGGCAGGCCCTGCAAAAGTCCCAGACTCAATTCCTGGAGTCAGCAGCAGACAGGAGCTGGATTCAGGAACACACGGATCAGAATCAAAGGCAGATGAACGGACAGTGCTCCCAGGACACCAGCCATAGACAAAGAGAGCTTGACCCTTGTGATCCCTCAGATTTATACCGAGTATGATGTGTATGGGATGGAATGCTTTGTTTGGTCAATTTTGGTCACTTTTCTGGTCAGGTCCTCTCCAAAGGAGGGTCACAGGTGTGACCCCTTTACTCCCTTTAGTTTCCAGAGCATAAGAAGTTTAGCAGAACCAAGCAGTGACCCTGGTTTCTATAGGAATAAGTATAAGCAAGAGAATTTCTGCCTACCATTCTCCAGCACTAACTATAAACATCAAGCCTAGAAGCAGACACTGACTGAGAAACATGCTGTTAATTTCAGCAAGTGCAGCTACTTAGAAGAGACTGAACTGAAAAGTGAAATAACTAGAAAGAAAATTGGTTCTGTCCTGGCTCAAACAGGGACACTGAATCAGTAAAATGCAAGAAAAGATGGGGGGGAAATCACAGTCTATTTTGGAAGAGTATGTTTGGTATCTTGCTTTAATTGGTCAGTAATCCAGCACAGCATTAAGTTGTTCCTGTATTCTTGTCTCTAAAGCAGCTTTGTGTTCTTCAGCAACATTTCCCATCAGTGAGGAATTCTATACCTATGCCTGTCTCAGGATTTCTGTCCTGTGACATCAGTGTCTTCAGATTTCAGCTCTTGAATATGCCAGCCTCATGATGCTAGAAGATTTCTGGTCAATAGAGTAATTTGGGTGTGTGGGAAAAGCTTTGTTAGATGCATGCTGTGTCCTACAGCATGATTCAGCATATCTGCAAGTCACAAAATTCTAAACTTCTTGTGCAGTGTCTTCACAAAGTGAAATGATGATGGTCATCCACCAGCAGACTGAAATTATTATAAGTATCTGTGAGACTGAAATTAAGCTCTTACCCTGGTGTCTTGATTCTGGCAGCAGAGTAGTTAAGTTGTGGGCTTGTCTGGGTTACTGAGATTGCAAAATGTCTCTGCTCCTGGCAATTCATTACTCTCTTGACAGATAACTTCTCAAAATTTGGTTCAATTCAAGAATTGCCTCAGTTCTCTGCTGGAAGAGAGCACATCAATCTATAGGTGTTCCCCTGGGAAATTTGGTCTTACTGTTTTCTAGACTGATCTTTAATGTGGAGGGGTTCTTGTTTTGTTTTGTGCAGTTATTAATTATGTGAGTTCAAACCTTTATCATCTTTTTGCATTACAGCATTTTGCACAGTGGTGATTCGTGCTAATGTGTGGTCTTAGAAAGCAAATTTCAACCAATGGAGTTTAATTTGTTTTAGCTTTTGTTATGGTTTAGGCCCAGCTGGCAACTATGCACCATGTGGCTGCTTGCTCACCCCTCCCTTCACTGTGGGATGGGGAGGAGAAAATCCAATTACAAGCTTGTGGGTCGAGACAAGGATGAGGGTTCACTCAAAAGTTATGGTCATGGGCAAAACAGACTCAACTTGGGGGGAAAAAAACAATTAATTTAACTTGTCACCAATCAAATCACAGCAAGACAGTGAGAAACAAAACCAGATCTTATGAACACCTTCCCCCCCTTCCCTTCTTCCTGGGCCCAAATTACTTTGCTCCCAGTTTCTCTACCTTCTTTCCCCCAGCAGCACAGGGGGACGGGGAATGGGGTTACAGTCAGTTCATCACACCTTGTTTCTGCTGCTCCTGCTTCCTCAGGGGGGAGGAGCCGGTGGGAGCTCCCTCCTTTTAATTCTTTCATTAAAAAGTCGTTTCCAATTATATAAACCCCGTGCCTGCTATCTATTGCTCACAGTTTCTATTTCTAGTAGTAAGCTCTTTCATTGCATTGCACTGATAAATACAGGCCAGGGAGAGTTGTGGGCATAAATACACACAGGACACGACTGGCAGTCACCAAAGTGCTTCGAGCCCAGCTTCTGGGTGTCCCGAATGCAGGGTCCGTTACCCAGTGTGCAAGAAGCCAATCCACACACACAGAGTCAAGATACCTGCTTTAATATCCAGGTCTGCACAGAAAAGGGAGCAGGGCAGTGCTCCACAAAGCAAGCTCAGCTTCCCAAAATGCAAGTGCTACTTTTACACCCAAAAACATGAGAAAGAATTTTAACATTATTCTGTCACTGGCACACACGATTGGTCGCTAACCCCTCGCTTCCATTTAAAGTGGGAATGCTCAGGAATTTCACTGTGCCTGCTCAAAGAGTAAGGGGCTTGTTGTTAGTAGGGGCCCCTCTAGCCTGTGGGTGTGAATTTTAGTATGCTAATGGATCATTAATGTATTAATACAGTGATTTTACTTATTCATTGTGGTTTCCCCCAATGCTCAAGGCTGTAACCAAAATAAGCTGTGGGCAATGCTCCTTCCCTTCCCTTCCCTTCCCTTCCCTTCCCTTCCCTTCACCAGCCTTGCTGCTCTCCTCTGGACCTGCTCCAGCACCTCAGTATCCTTGGAGAGGCCTAGAACTGGACACAGTACTTGAGATGAAGCCTCTTCCCTTCCCTTCCCTTCCCTTCCCTTCCCTTCCCTTCCCTCTCTCTAGCAGGTGTCCTGCAGGCCTGTCCCAAGGCTGGGCTGTTGACTGCTTGGGGAGTGTTTTTCTCTAATTGGAATCTGGTTGTGTCTAATTCTTACTGTTTCACTGTTATCTAGGCCCTGCTTTTATTCTGTGCGTCCCTTATGTTCTCTTTTATGTGTTGTTTTTTTTTTTCCCCCCAATTTGATTTTCCACAAATTTTACTTAATTAATAACTGACATCAGTTTGCACAATTCATTTGGGTTCATGAAGAAAATGTTTTTGGTACCATTAATAAATAAAATCTTAAAACATTTTAAAATAATGTTTGTTTTACCTTTCATCCTTTTTAAATTTTTTGTGGATGTTTTATACATATTAGTAAAGTAGTATATGTATATCATTTACAAATAAAAATATATTGGGAGCAAGTGCTCACAAATTTTTTATGGATGGGGTGTGATATCAAAAAAAGGTGGAGACCACTGCCTTATATCATTCTTCTAGGTCCTCTACAGGAATTTAAGACAGTCCTCACCCTAAAAAGTTCACACTTCAAGATGACAGGACATGCCAGCAAAACCAAATCTTCAGTTTGGGAGAAAAAGATTAAAACTTGCCTTTCCCTCCCTGGGTGCACTCCACTTGTGGGGCTAGTACCATACTAAGTGATTATCCTCCTATTTCTCACCTCAAATCCATCAAGAGTTAATGCTTTAACCACTAATGTGTCGATTGTCCATACAATCTCCAACACTGGAAATGCACCCTCCTTCTTCATCCCTGCCTCTGCAAATTCCCCAGCATCTCAAATGCTTTCTCAGAATTGACAGCATCTTCCACCTCACTGCATTTCTATGCATCACCCCCTATCTCCTACACCCATTCCTCCATCATTGAACATGAAATAATATGGCAAAGATTTCGTATTGCAGGTGTTTTCTGTAACTTGAAATGGTGCCAGATTTCATCATCTTTTCCTTCCCAGGTAATTCCACTTCATCAAATCCCGTATAAATCACTTAACAAAACACAACCAAATTCCTATTAAAAGTATTTGCAGGCTACTCAAAAGCAGCACTCCTATCTCCTGAAGAAAATTACACAAAAAAGCAGATTTGGAGAAGAGATCTGAACAGGACTCAGTGGATATAAACTGGAACTGACATACTAGCATTTTCCCCTATATAAACCAGACAAAAATAACTAAATCCACATGAGAACAGGGTCTAAGTATTGCAATTATTCATAGAATCATAGAATCATATAATGGTTTGGGTTGGAAGGGACCTTGAAGATCATCTAATTCCAACCCCCCTGCATGGGCAGGGACACCTCTCACTAGACCAGGTTGCTCCAAGCCCCATCCAGCCTGGCACTGAACACTTCCAGGGATGGGGCAGCCACAGCTTCTCTGGGCAATCTGGGTCAGTGTCTCACCACCTCCTCCTCATGTCTAACCTAAATCTCCTGTCTTCCAGTTAAAAACCATTACCTCTTCTCCTCTCACTACAAGCCCTTGTCCAAAGCCCCTCCCCAGCTTTCCTGTAGCCCCTTCAAGTACTGGAAGGTGTTCTAAGTTCTCCCCAGAGCCTTCTCTTCTCCAGGCTGAACACCCTCAACTCTCTCAGCCTGTCTTCATAGGAGAGGTGCTCCA